TTTTTTTTTGTAATTTTTGAGGATTTTTTTTTCCCCCGGTTTTTGGTGGTTGGGTTTTTTTGGGGTTTTTTTGGGGGTTTTTTTGGGGGTTTTTTTGGGGTTTTTTTTTCCCAAAATCCGCCTTTTTCTCCCCAAGCTGGAGCTGCGCTGCCTCGAGGGGCTCCGGGACCCCCGGGGGGACCCCGAGGGCGTGGTGGCCGCCCCTCCCCCGCCCCGCGGCGACGGCCCCGAGTTCGCCGAGCCCCGGCTGCTCCCGGTGAGCCCCGAAATCCCCGGAATTGGCCCCAAACCCGCGGGGCCCGCCCCAAACCCGCCGGGATTCACCCCAAATCCTCTCTTCGCCCCCCCCCCCACAGTTCGTGGAGCAGCGGCGGGAAAAGTGGCACCGGAAAAAGGTACAAAACGCCCGAAATTCCCCAAAATCCCCTCGGATGGGGCTGGGGGAGGGGCCCGGCCCCTCCCACTCCTCCCCGGCCCCGAGATTCGGGGTTTTCTCCATAAGTTTGGGGCGGTTTAAAGTTTTTTACGTTTCCTTGTTTTTTTAAAGCGAGGGCGTGGCTTAACTCGGCCCTGCCCGCTCAAGCCCCGCCCCCTCCCCGCATTAATTATTCCTCTCCCTCTCCCCAGTTCCTCCCCTCCCCCCCCTCAGGTTTGGACCTTTCCAAGATGGTGGCGCTGATGGGGGGCGGGGCCAGCGGCGCGGGGGGAGTGGCCTCGCCTTCCTTGGCCCCTCCCCCGCACTTCCGGCCCGAAGCGGAAGAGGAAGCGGAAGCGGGAAGTGGGTGCTGCCCCCTGCTGGCCGACCCCATGCTGCCGCCCACTTCCGACTCGGATTAAGCCCCGCCCCTTTTCCTGCCGGGGCCACGCCCCCTCCCCATATTTATATAAATATGTAAAATGTCTCTGTGTCATAGGGGGCGGGGCGGGGGCGGGGCTGAGCGGGGCGGGGCCGAACAGGGCAGGGTCAGTGTGGGCAGGGCTGGCGGGACGGGGTGTGAGGGCCTGGTGGGGGTTTTTTTTTTTAATAAAAAGGTTTGGAAACGGAGCCAGCGCTGCGAGTGATTTGTCCCCTCATTAAGCGTTAATTGCGCTCCTCCTTCACCTCCCGCGCACTAATGAACTCCTCTGCTAACGAACCGCCCGCACTAATTAACGATCCCCGCCTTCCCCTCACTCACCGCCAGGCGGCGCTCAGCCAGCTCCCCTCACGGTTTTCCCGCCTCTCCGTGTCACGTGACCGCTCCCCTCACGGTTTTCCCGCCTCTCCGTGTCACGTGACCGCTCCCCTCACGGTTTTCCCGCCTCTCTCCGTGTCACGTGACCGCTCCCCTCACGGTTTTCCCGCCTCTCTCCGTGTCACGTGACCCCTCCCCTCACGGTTTTCCCGCCTCTCTCCGTGTCACGTGACCGCTCCCCTCACGGTTTTCCCGCCTCTCTCCGTGTCACGTGACCGCTCCCCTCACGGTTTTCCCGCCTCTCTCCGTGTCACGTGACCCCTCCCCTCACGGTTTTCCCGCCTCTCTCCGTGTCACGTGACCGCTCCCCTCACGGTTTTCCCGCCTCTCTCCGTGTCACGTGACCCCTCCCCTCACGGTTTTCCCGCCTCTCTCCGTGTCACGTGACCGCTCCCCTCACGGTTTTCCCGCCTCTCTCCGTGTCACGTCACCCCCCCCCTCACGGTTTTCCCGCCTCTCTCCGTGTCACGTGACCGCTCCCCTCACGGTTTTCCCGCTGTCCTGAGGTAACTTTATGATTCCCGTTTTCCCCAAATCGTCCGATTTATGTTTTATATTAACTTCTGCACCTTTAAGGCTGGCTCTGAGAGCAAAAAGGGGGGAAGAAGCGCACAGTTTGTGTTAAAGAAAAACATCACTCGCCCACATCCAGCTTGTGAAAAACGAGGTTCACTTAGTTTTTATAGAATTTAAAAGTTTAATAAAAAAAGACAATTAGGAGAAAAAAATAAAGTATACAGATAGGGCCGGGTGTCTCTGCATTCACCTCACTGACAAAGGATTGTCCCTTAAAAACAGAACCCTGCTCCATATCCATAAATTCTCACACATATTCACACATTCTTCTCAGGATCTTTGGGCTTCTTCTGTTCAGTTTTCTCTTGCCCCCTTCCCAATAGATCAATGCTCTTGGTGCCATCGAGATTTACATTCCCTGATAGCAGAAATGCAATAAATTCCTCCCCCAGAGCTCTGGGCACTGCTGTCTTCATCTGGATAAGAGAGTTTACAAATGCAGGAGTTCTCTAGCTATTTTTTTTTTTTTTTTCCCTCAGTCTTTGGGTCATACAAACAAAAGCAGTTTTTATTTTAATGTTATGCCATAGCCCAACATACATGTATTATACTACTATTTTTCAGTTTCATCAATAACAGAAATAAAGGAAACTGTGTTAATACCACAAAATTTCCCATTCTTATACACATAACATTCATTTTAATATTTGCGAAAAGCCAACAATATATGTTCCTATAACACCATCGAACAGTGAGAGGTTTTATTATTTAATATCATTCGATTTCTCTTAAATAAACAGCTTTTCCACTTCTCTCCAAGGAAATTTTTTACCTTTCCCGGACTCGGTGGGGAGGGATCATTTCCCAGGGGAAAATCCCCGTTTGGAGTTTTCTTCCCAAATTTGTCCTAAAGTAGGACACCCACCTTTCTCCGTGTCACGTGACCTCTCCCCCTCACGGTTTTCCCGCCTCTCTCCGTGTCACGTGACCCCGCCCCTCACGAGCTTCCCGCCTCTCCGTGTCACGTGATCGCTCCCCTCACGGTTTTCCCGCCTCTCTCCGTGTCACGTGATCCCGCCCCCTCACGGTTTTCCCGCCCCTGCCCGTCACGTGACGGCGACCCATTCCGCTCCCGTTTCCCGCCTCCCGCCCTGGTCACGTGACGCGGGCGAACGGCGCCCGTCCTTCCTTTTCCTCCGTCCCCGCGTCACGTGACCGCCGCCCCCCTCCGGTTCCCGTTTTCCCGCCTCTCCCCGGTCACGTGAGGAAGGCGCCGCTTCCTCCGCCGGTATTTCCCGTTTTCCCTCCCCCTCCCGCCGTTTCCCGTTTCCTCCTCCCTCCCTTCCCCGTTTCCTCCCCCCCGCCCCCCGCGCCCTTCCCGTGACGCGGCGCGCGCCCCCCCTCGGCCCGTCCCCCTCCCGCCTTCCTCCGCTGCCCCGGAAGCGGAAGTTCCCCTCAGGCCTCGCTTCCGGGGGGACGCCGCGGCGCGGGAGGCGGCGGCGGCGGCGGCGGCGGCGG